AGTGCAGCCTAGGCGGAGTAGTCGAACGCAGATTCACTGAGCGCTCAACACAGACAGCATCGTCAGAAGGAAAGTTGATAAAATAAATTACAAATTTTGTATTGTTCGATACATATGCGTACCGAACCGAAAGCACTGTATCGAACGGTTCAATATCGATACGAGTATCGTTGCACCCCTAGTTAAAATGTAATGTGCTGTTCTATGGAGGTAGAAATACATTTTCAAGATAAAAGGCTAAATACATTGTTTGAAGATAACTTAAGCGTTTCACTCATGACTGAAAAATTACAACTCTAGCAAAATGCCTTAACAACATTAAATGTTAGAAATCATTCTACAAAACACGGTTAATATTAGTTACGTCTTTAATAGCAGATTATAGAGTAAAACTAATCTAAATATGTGACATATCAATACTCAAATGCATGCCCTGAGTTTCTGATGGCTTATTAATCTTTGCATTTATCAGCAAACTGACATGATGACAGTGTGTGTTTTAATACCATTTTAACATATTTCATGTGAAATAAATGAGTCATATGGAGACAAAACCAAAACACTTTTTTTTAACAACAAATTGAAATTCCTGGAAACTGAGAATAAAATAAAAAATCTTATTGAATCTGTATCTGACCTCACAGGATGTGAGGATTTGTGACATCCAGTACAAATAGTAACTTTAGTAACTTGATACTGCTAGAAAACACATTCATGCCGGTTAGACGACAGATCTGGGACGCATAAGCCAAACCACAATCGGGCCAGATGTGGCATGCCATCACATAAACAGTGCCATCATTGCCAGACCTGGCCCACATCTGGTTGACATACCCCTTACCATGCCAGTCAGCCAGCAGTGTCTGGCTTCACACTAGAGCCGGGCCAGACCTGTCTGTTACGTGGGATTGTCTATAAAAACAGAATACTGTCACCTTGGACTGAAAATATGCAGTTTGCATTTTCACTTGTTCTTCTGGCAGTTGCAAACTTAAAAGGGATTCTTGCAAATCTGGTAAAAAACTAAACAAAACCATAAGCCCACCCCAGTGCATGCTGGTCCTATACCAGTCCCTTTACTTAAAGTTAATGACCTTGCAGTTCTTCCTGGCTGACTTCCAAAGATAAATAACAAAACAAAGAATTAAGCAATTATTAACCTACAAATAAAACGTGTAAATATCCCAAAATAGGTCAACCAAGAAAAAATTGTGACAGTATGCAGTTGGAGTGATTTTAGAGAGTATCGTCTTGTTGATGGTTATCATTCTATTATTCGTAGGACTGGCTTCCCACCCTGAGGTATCACCGAGTTGACTTTAAAATGTGGAGTTTCTGTGGGGTTTTTTTTTTTGTGTGTGTGTGTTTGTTTAGTTTAATCCAAAATGTGTTTTAGAAGACACAGTATTGTTTGTAATAATATTTTTAATATTACTTTGTTTTTGTTGTGCAGCTAGTTGAAGAGCTGAAGAAGGAATACCTGAGGCTTTTGCCGCTGACGGAAAGCAGCAAAGAGTTGCTCGACGATTTACAGACAGATGTAAGAAACCTCGTAGTTTGAGGTTGCGAGTCAGGATGTCCATGTTTTTGCAATCACACTGAAACATACCTCTGTTAATACCTGTAGCCAATTTGAGGTAATTAGGAAGTGGTTGTTTTGCAGTTGTCTCTAAGTATTCTTATGTTCTCCTTTGACTTCCATCTCAGTTGGAGTGTTGTGGACTTCAGGGCTACCAGGACTGGAAGTCCAACATCCCAAAATCCTACCTTTGTGCCAAAGAGTCCACTAATCTGTGTGTAAGTGTGAAAGCTAACATGCCTACACTGTGTTCTTCTGTAATAGAACCTGTTGATATAAGGCTGTCATTATTAGTAGTGTTCATTCATTATGGAGGACCAATTGATTTAAAAACACTTGAATGTTGAAATGTTGCTTCGAAGATGGGGACGAGTTCAGTGACCTCCTGTATCAGCTGCCAACTTCAAAACAATTTTAATGAGTCGAAACAAGGCAGAGTCGGCCTGGCATCACTTTGTGATTGAATGACATCAAGTTGGCAATTACATGCAATCTGTTTTTGATAATACGGCAGTTAACTGGGATAAATTTGCAAACTTGCTCTCCACATACACCAAAATTATTCAGATTTTTTTAAAATTACAAATAAATTTTTAAACATTACTCTGTTATCCCTGCTTGTGATTCTATTTTTTTTTTTCTTAAAATGATTATGTTTTCTAGGTGGAAACTCTTGGAGGCAGCTGGGAGGAAAATCAGACTGTTATGATTTATGAACAGGTATTAAAGACATTCTCATCAGTTTTTCCAGGAACCTTTGTAAACTCTATAAGCTGTTATGGTGTCATCTGATGCAACTGAGATGCAAATTGTTTGTTTCATCTTTAGAAAATATGTATCCTATTAAGCCTTTCCTGTTTCAGGGATGCCTTACGTACCTTGTTGAAATCCTCATGCATGGATTTAAGATTTTTTTGGGCACGTTACTGGGATTTTTATTATTGTGGGTAAGTACAGTCGCAATCTACTAATTTAGCATAAAAGACCAGAAAAATGGAGTTTAAAGAAACCAGAGGCGAACAAGTGTCTGTTTTCTTTGGCTTTTCTGCCCTACTCAGTCTCTTTCTAAAATTGCAAGAGGACTCAAAGCAAGTCAAGAAACAACAGAAGATGAACAGGAAGTAAAATAATCAATCTTTGTTTCACTTTCCTGTAGATGTAGTCCCTCGTGTTGTGTAGAGCCATCTTGTGCCAGCTGAATCGAAACAGAGAAACCTCGGTAGTGAACTAAGGTGCAGAAGCAAAAGCAGGCAACTGCACCACCCTCACAGAGCCTCCAGACCACTTCCGATGTCTTTGCTAGTTCTGATGCTTCCAGCAGCGATGGCCATTATTTAAGCATGCTAAATAATAAATATATTTATGATAATTGGTTATATTGAATATATCATATCCTACAACTGCATTATGGACTGCTTTATTATGACTTTCTGAATTTCAACTCAGTTGATTGAGATTATTGATCTGGGATATCAACACTGAGTGAAAATGCACTGTTTAAAGCTAATATAACTAAACATATATCGAAAACAAACTGAATATCATGTGTGAATTGTTTTAATACTTGATGATTCGGTAGTTTTTAATTTTTTTATACTGTGTAAAATTTGGTTTGTCGATGTTTTGTTGGGTTTTTTTTGTTTTTTGTTTTTGTTTTTTACTTTTTTTATTTTTTTTTTATTTCGAGTTTTACATTTCTACTTTGTGTTCATTTTTTAATACGATGTGTTTGTTATATACTGGTGTTTAGTATGAGGTGCCTTTTTTTTCACTGTGCTGTATCATTTAGGCCAGCTGCCAAAATTTATTACATTTAAAATGCATACAACTATCATTTACATTCCTCAGCATCTGCTGCTGGGTTAACCAAGCTGTTAGCGTCATTAAGAGGACGGGCAGTTTCAGTTTCATAAGAAAACAAAATAAAATGAAGACGTAAAAAAAAAAAAAAAGACAAAACTTGTTTTATTCATTCTATTTACAAAATATTACATCATGTCATGCAAATAAAAAAACAAAAACAGTGTGTGACAGAAACAAAGACACCATACGTTGCCAGAACGTGTATATTAGGCAATAATGGTTAAAGTGCACAGGTAGACACTGGATCTGCTGCTTCAGATTAAATTAATTTGACAATATACGAGTCGAGTAGACGTTTCAACAGCAGGCAGCTCATGCAGCAAGTTAAAGTAGACGCGGCGTGGCATAAAGGCTTCTTTGGTGAGAGTTGCATCAGTTGGGGCGTTACAGTCTCTGCAAGAAATTGGGTGGCACATTTTCCTACAAGAGCCTCTCACAACCTCTTTGCAGCAGCCTTGCCAACATCTGTGCAAAACCTTCAAATCAAAGAGGATTTTACTGCGTGTCTACTGTATGTGCAACAAAATAGAATCCCCTCTCCTCCTCCTCACCCGCTCCTCTCTCCTGGGCATGATCACACAAGGTCGAATTTTTAGATGTGCTTTAAGAAAAACTGAAATCAGCGACAAGGTTTCAGATATTCAGTGTGCATAACAAGGCATCAAAACATTCTGCCGTCCCAGAGACATGTGAATCATTCCCTTGTCTCACCTGATTATGCAGTAATATGCATGGCTAAATGAATAACTGAATCAAAGCACTTTGTAAACAGTGTTTAAAAAAGCTGCTACATAAAGCTTATTAATATTACTTTGCAAAGATTATTAGTTGCTCTAATGCTTAAAAGTCAATGTGTGCTTAAGACAAGTATTCGTGTTTCATTACGCCATCTTGACTTGAGGTACATACGTCAAAACTCAGAACTTACAGTTGGCTTCAGTGAGGCAAGCTTTCAATAAAACATCGAAGCAGATTAATTATTATTAGATTAATATCTGCCTTTTGAAAGCCTCACTGATATATATCCAAAAGTCTTAATGTACAGAACAAAAAGCCAGGAAAAAAAGCATGAGAAAATGTAATAAATAGTTCAGATTGATTAATGTCATTAAATTGCACTTTTTTTCTCTCTCTCTCCTTTTTTAAAATTTTTTTTTTACAGCAGTAAGGCAGATGAGTCATTTAAATCGTATCTACTGTGTGCAAGTAGATTACTTTTAGACATGCATTTAAACATCAACACAGAAAAATGATAAGACAGCCAGGTTTTGGAAATTAGGATGCGTGTATTAAAACAGCAGGGGGCTAGAAAGCACCGGGAACGTATCTGTTTGATTCGAGAAGAGCCATAAAGTCCTGTTTCCTTCTGATCTGGTCCATCAACTTGATGCTCATAACAAGTAAAATAACCTGGAATAGAAAAGAAAAGAAAAGTTAGCACAAGGAAAATATTTCAAGATGCTTTTCACCAACATATAACAATATATATATAAAAACCACATACCCAAAACACTCCGCTTCCAAACTGTATACCCATCGACAACGAGAATGCAAGCTTCAGCTCGGAAACGTAAATTGGAAGGCAAGGCTGTGAACGAAAAAGTGAAAGTACAGGTGGGTAGGGGAGCATAGTTAGTTTTGTCTTCATCTGTGCCAGATAACAAGATTATATCATTATACTTTAAGTATACTGTGCAGGAAGGACACCTCCAGCAAAGTGGTGGTGATTCACTGTGCAGGGGTTAAAAAACTTTGCTTGAATTTAAAAATCAGAAAGAAAGTCTACAAGAAATCAATATTTTTTTTGTTTTTAAGAATTTTCTTTTTACCTCTTGATAAACATAGTGGTTCTTTGGAGCCCCGAGTGTGGCGCTGCCTCGTAGTCGAATCTGTCGAAGAGCACAAAATCTCACAGCACAATGCAACAAATTGAGGACAATTTCACCAGTTTTGGTTTTAGCTGTGCCCGGCGTTGATTGTTCCTTTCAGATTTTCTTGCTATTGCTTGCTGATCAGCACAACACACTCTCATGCTGATGAAGCTACACTGAAACCCAGAACTAAAAAAAAAAAACATAAGATGATTTAAGTTTAGAATTTCCCCAAAAACTAGGTTCGCTAAAAGATTATCTAACTAGAAGAACCCAGAATGAGGTTAAAGTGTATGCGAACCCCTACCAAGTACCCAAAGCCTGATTTTTCTTTAGTAACTAACAAGTACTGGTACTGTAACTCCTTATTTAAACACCGGGTGGCATGGTGGTGCAGTGGGTAGCGTTATTGCTTCACAGCAATCAGGCTTCTGCTTTGAGCCACGTCCTCCAAACACTAATGGTACTTCCTCCCACGGTCCAAAGACATGCATACGACATGTAGGTTTATTGTGCATTAAACTGTGCATATATGCGAGTTAGATAAAGTGCTTTAACTGTATAGGATGACGTGGCGTATGAATGTATAGATAAAAATGTCACATTAATACAAAATGATTAATTATATTTATTAAAAAAGATGGAAATGCCACAGTTAGAATCAGAGTTATAGTCCTTGCCATTTTTTTTACCAAGTAAAAAAATAAAATATGCACAGCTTAATTGTTAGAAATTGTGTTGTCATTTAGGGCCAGATTAGGTAACTGCGCCAGTGACAAACCCTTTTTTGGCATCAAAAAGCTACTGTGAGTTTTGCCAAAAAAACACTTTTGTGACATAAAGCCACAGGGCACATTAACATGATGATGCATTTGCAAAAACAATACCCCTATGAGAATGGAAAGTCTGATGGGTGAACTATTAATGCACTCATTTGTCCACAAAGACGCAGTTACTTCGTATACAAATACAAGTGCAGATTCGTGGCTCCAAAACATGCGCAGCTGATGAGGAAGTGAGGACGAGCAATTTATATCCTAACATAAATGACAGTGTAAGCTCAAGCTTTACACGTGTCTCTAGATGAGAATAGACTGAAGAAAAATGGGTTGGTTTTTTTTTTATAACTGTGAACTTATCTTTCCTCCAAAGGACAGAGTGTAGGATTATTATTCAGTGTGTTATTGCAAACCTTTCCACCACATAAACCTGAAATCTATGACAGCTGCCCTGTGTGATGCACAGAACACCAAACATTATTTAACCATCAGATCATGAGTCGTCCCTGCATTAATTAACATTTGTTCTACATGCACAAATATGCACATTCTTCTTGTTTTTTTCTGGAGTCTGTGTGAGGCTGCACGCACTAATAGTGTAAGTCTGACACACTAGCACAGTTAAGTTAATCGCTGTATGTTGGCAGACATTTCAATATGGCTCCAGTGTAGAGACTTTTTTTAAAAGAGAGAAAATACCCAAAAGCCACTCTGTGTGCGCACTGCTGAGAAAAGACATCCAGAGACTTTTTAAATATAAAATACTAGCATTAATAATGAGCGGCAAAAAGAAATAGCTATAAACATTCTCTGTGAAAAGTGACAGAACATATAGTACTGCTCTCAAGGCTTTAAGTCGTCCACACATCACCGTTACACACTCTTTCTGATAACATTTCCCCTTCTCATTCCCAACTATCACAACTCACACGCCCAAAATAACAAATGCTTTTTTCAGCATTAAATTTAACATTGCACTGCATGCTACAAAAGTTAATAAATCGAATTTGCAAGATTCATATTCTCCTTCCAAAACTTTGTGCAGTGATAGGGAAATTCCTACTAATACATATACAGTAAGGCCAACCACCAAAACATCTTTCTCTGCGTTTCAGTCAGAAAACTGACACTGCACCCCTTTGTTAAATCCTGACAACAGCTTTTTAAAGCCTAAAGAGGGTTTCACTGTCGTGCTGTGTTAGTGAATCTGGCCCATGGACACAGTTATTTTTGCAGCTGATCTCATTAAATATGTATTTAGATTCCCTTTCAGAGTGCCGCAGGGGAGCCACAACACGCATGCGGGCAATCGGGATATTTCTTAAAGTGAGCCAACAGATTTGCAGCGTTTCAGAGTCAAATTCATGCTACAAATTACAGAAAGGTTAATAAAATCATAAACATAAATGTCTGACTTTGACAAAAAATGGTTGAAATAAATAACCCAAATGTGTACGTACTTGCATGATGTGCTGAGAGGACTAAATAGCACTTACTTTTTTACTATTAACTATATTCCTTTTACATTTGGGTTTACAGTGTAGAATACATTCAACTTTAGTTTCCATTTAGATTTTTTATTTAGGTATGCCTGAATCTTTTTCAGAAATATCTCAAATGCAGTATTCCATTAAAACTGTATGAGTTCTACTTTGGTCTGTGGATAAACAACAACTAGTTGACCTCAATCCAAGACAACTTAAGCTATACACAGAGTCAAAGAGGAATAAATAACTACATTCATCGTATTGCTAGTTGGATATTTAAATGAAAAAACTGCTTTACTTGGACTCAAATTACACTGGCACTTGCTATGGGGAAAACCAATTGTGTCTTCAAGTTTCACCAGTGAAACTGCTAATTTAAATATGTCATTGGTTCCTCAGTTTCTAGAGGACAATGTGTGGTTACAGGACCAGAGATGAACATAATGACCACTGTTCTTATAAAAGAAAGACACTCACGCATTTTCCTGGATATTGGCAGTTACAGGATGAAGGGATGGAAGAGCCCCAGTCTTTGTAACCTTCAACGAGACCGCAGCATTCCAGCTGGAGGTGAAACACAAAGGTTCAAAACGGGTCCAGCAGTAATTATTTTTTGTATCATTTAGTAAAAAGTTGCAACAGTTCTTTAAAGTTTCATTAACACAAG